CTCTGCCGTATTTTTTTTTTCTTCCCCCGTTTCAGTCAAGTGGATGTGATGATGGCGGCGGCGGATGACGCATTAATCGCGCGACACAACTAATCGATTATGAAATTCGTTGCCAACGCTTTTAAAAGTCTATTTTTATCGATTTTATTGATTCGTTGTTGCAGCCCTAAAATAATTTGCATCGTTAGTATGTAGCTATACGGTGGACACAGATCCTCATTTACCGCACAGACATGCCCAAATTTCCACTGCAGCACACACACACACACACACACACACATACATACATACAACCATGTCATGAGTTTTTTTTGTACCTGTAGTTTTATTTGCAGGAAAATTTTTATATATAAAAATGGGTGAGACGAGATCCATCTGAGAGACTGTCCTATCATTGCATACATTATCCATGACAGCAATTTTTCTAGTGGAAAGAGTACAGTTTTTCCATTTAAAATTAATATCATATGATCAATATACTTAGCAAATTGATTATATGAATTTAAGGAGAGAGCTATTTATGTAAATCTGGATAACCTTTAAGCTATGGTAAAAAGCTCTTTATTCTGGAATCTGTATTTTATAGATAAATCTCTCTGAAGTCACCAGTTTAGTTCTTTTTTGTCTGGTTTATTGTAATTCTTAACTTCTCTGGTTTCTGGAGATTCAAAACTATGTGATTTCTTTAAATTTCTGTCTGGCCAAGCGTGGTGAGACTGGTTTTCTAAAGGCCATTGTACATGTCATGTGAAAAGGTTCAGAGGTACCTTCCAACTACCAGAACAGCATTCTCCATTATTATTATGTTTCCTTTTCTTCATTAAAGTCATAGGGAAGCGGCTGTTCCAACTGTTGCATTTACGAATTCTCCTGAATGGTGCACGACTTTACACGATTGAATAAAGTGAATGTGATTGGTCGTTTATCAAGGGGGCAGGATTGTTGTGGCGGAAGGTTCGCAAGCATGTTTGGTTGTGGCCGGTTTCTTGGAAGCATCTTGCTAACCAGTTAGCAACTTAGTACTTGTAGGTTCCCAATGGGAAATTCCATTGGAACCAAGTAGCACTTATCAACGACACTGTCAAGGAACGCTATGGACAGCAGAAACATACAAGAGGAGGAAAGTTTTGTGTCGGAGGTCGTGGATGAGTCTCCTCCCTCATACATTTTTTATTTAGAGGAGGAAAGCGGGGACGAAGATGTTGTGGAAGAGGACGCCAGGGCGGCAGAAGCTTGGTTTGGTGTAGAAGGCTTACAGCCGTACATGTTTGAGCCCTTGCCTCGCAACGCTGCCAGTTCTGTTAGCTGCTCAGTTAAATGCTATGACCGAAAACGTGATTGACAGATAGATTGTCAGCCGAATTCAGGTGTACAGGCTGACGTATAAGTAACTGGCCAGCATAAGATAACGAGAAAAAAAACATAGATTTTAAGACAGTTTTTTTTTTTAAAACAGAAATGTTCTACATTTTGAGTTCATTTATATAAATGTTTGAGCCAGAATGATTTGACATTTCCAAACAAATTAAAATCTCTAGTTCCAGTGGTGGGAAATAGGCACTTGCTGTTGCCTGTTGTCATCGTGACTCTTCCAATCTGGGCTCCACTGATTTTCCTACTTGTTTTGCACGTTCTGAACTCTGAGTGGAGCTACTGAAAGTTTATTAAATTTACTCATAGTAGCTTTTATGAAACTGAAAACTCCAACCTCAGGCTAGATTAATTCAGGGTTGGGGATTTGAGTCTGAATTTGTTAAACCTGCTTTTTGAAATGGGCCTCTGGGGGAAACTCCACTAACTAACATTTTATTATTCAAAGAACTTTAAACCTCAGGAACTGAAAGATTGAACATTTTAGTACACTGGATTTTTTTTTATGGGATCATTTGTGTAACCCTGATACCAGGAATTAGATTAAGCCAAGTTGAGAAAAAATAACATTTTTCCCAGAAGCAGGATCTCAGTTCACTATGATCCTTTAGGTTAAAAAATTACAGTAGTTTAACAATGAACTTTAGTAAGATGCATCTCTAAGTTCTTATTTGGAGATTTTTTTTTCTCATTTTATGAAAACATAAACTTCAGACCTCAATTATGTGCTGCATGTTATTTATTGTATTTTATGCATGTCTGTTTTTGATATTTCTGGTTCCTGCAGCTTGTCAATAAGTTGTGAAGGACCCAACAAGCAGGAGGTAGGCAGGCAGGACTGTGTTATTGCTGATTTAATAAAAAAAAAAGAGTAAAAATAAAAGGAAAGTTTCCAAGCATGAGGATGCCTCATTGGTAGAATGACTGGGGGCCAAAAGTGAGAGGAACCATGAGGTAAACGACTTGAGAATGGAGAAAACACTGTAGAAAACAGAGAGCAGTTATAACTGGACTGAGTGTAATTAACTAAAGGTGCAGCTCAGTGCTAAAGAGGTGAAACAAATATTGAAGGTAAGAGCCAGAATATTAACACCAGACAAAATGAAACTTGAAGTCTAACAGATCACAACCGGTATCGTTTTCACTTTTTGCCTTTTCTAAAACATATCCATAAACATAAGCTTGTTTCATGAAATACCTTCACTCACACAGAAACAACTAAAATGACTTAAATAATGATAGTAACTATGAAGGTTTTTTTGTGTGTGTGTACTATAATGGTTATCGAAACAGGTGTTTTCAAGGAGGGAGACATCCCAAATATGCAGGGCACTGGAGCTGCCAACACCAGATCCAAAAAATCTGAAAGTTATTGCAGAACCTGTCCATTTAGTTCACTTCACTTTATTCATATATATAGCACCAATTCACAAGACATATCATCTCAAGGCACTTTACAAAACAGCATTAATTTATTTCCAGAAGCAATGTATTTATAATACGGTTACATTAAATTTAGATGAAGACACAGTTGCAGAAACATTGCAGAGTTCACAAACCTTAAAGTTTTCCACGTTCTGTGCTGTGAATTTAATGTACGGATATCAGACTAAAAGGGGTTGAAACAAATGCTACCACTGATATTGTATTTAGCAAGACACTGTTAAAGGGATCTACTGTAGAATACATAGTTATAGAATTTATTCATCAAATACTTATTTTCCATATATAATATATTTTCCAACATAATGCAGTCAACCAGAAAAACCCTCAGAGAGCGCAAACCTCTGCCAAGCAGCTAATTGTGTCCTTAACTGTGACTTACACCTATAGCTAAAACTGGCACAAGATCTGGATCATTGCCAATTTAATGAATTCTTCCTTGGCATGAGGTGAACCTTTGGTTACCTTTTCCTTCAAATCCTGTTATAAGCTTTTAGAGCAGCAGCCATTCACTATGGCCCTTCCCAGTAAAACGTCATTCGGATGGCTACCTACTCCCTTGCGACTCTCAGCGAAATCCCCTCCAACTTCCAGCCACTGGCCTTCTCCTGGGCGTTTTTTTTTTTAACTCTGACCCTTTCACTGAATTACAGGGTCTGATCTGTATATGACGTTTCTCTTTAGGTCTTAATGTCCACAAATCATTACAGAAATAATATTTTAGTACAAAGATTGATGTTCAAATGGTAGGGGACCAGCCAAGTACCAGCCAAGGGCTAATCAAGGAAAGTGGGGAAATTTTGAATGGCTGCTACTGTAAATAAGGCACAGCGTGTTTCTGCAGTCTCTGGTGATTGTTCTGCGCTCACTTTCTTCATTTACTCTGTTTTCCTCTTTGATCATCAGATCGAGACTCGAGTGAGGCCTGGCTCACTTTTCCTGTGTTTTTGTCTTCAGTATAATTCTATACTTAAGTCCAATGTTGAAGCTGTCAATAGCCACTGCTGCCTCTCTCTGGTTTAGGGGGAACTGCTTGTTCCGCCAAATAATACCTGCATCTAAATCATGATGTGGGTCTTCAACAAGAGTTAATGGATTGTTCCTTGGACAGAGGTTTTACATTTGGTAAAATTTTTTGATTAAAATCCGTTCATAACCTTTAAATTACCCTGTATGCAGACAGAAAGAAAGAAAAACAAACACGCCCACAAACTTAACTAAGAACACAACCAACTTGATAGAGGTAAAGATACTGTAAGCTTTTTAGTTTTAAAATTCTAAATTTAAACACAATTTTGTCAAACAGACGTCACCCTGTTGTTTGTGCCTTCCGAAGCATGCTGGTTGTAAAGCTCTACCTCCGTCTAGACAAAACAGCAATTAGTTACTCAAACCATTTCAGTTTAAACCAGAGCTCGTTGAAATGCATGAGCATGTAGAAATAACAAGAGGTGATGAAGCTGAGGAGCACTGTTGCACCTTTGTCACTATACTTAGCAACTTTTCAGACCCTTCTAGCAACATTTTATTTTTCAATACGACTACTAGTCACAAAACCTTTGCACTAAAACAGATTCTCTCTGACATTAATTAATTAATATGCAGTCTGTTTCACTGTGTGCTGCAGTTAACTTTCTTTAAGTTGAATTTCCTAATATAATAGAATTGATATATATAGTTAGGTTAAAATATTTGATACTACAAATTACTTTATAAAGTTCATCTTTAGTGTAAAATGTAGTTAGGGTTTTTTAACTCAATTCCTGGCTTGCCGATAATTATACTTCTCTCTCCTACAGCTGGAAATAAAAAATATGCAAATTACCAAATCATTTGGCGACTTTATGGCCAGCCAATAGCGAGAAAACAGAGGAAGAGTGAAAAGTTACCTGAAGAATCTGGTGTTTGGTGCTAGGAGACGCTAACCCAGATTTTTCTCTTTTTTTCGCCAATATTTTATTGTCATTAGACTGTCACAAATATAGAGCAACAAAATGAACTCTCTGCATTAAACGCATACCCCTTGGGGAGCAATGGTCCATCATTGTGCGACACCCAGGGGAGCCAGTTATTCCAAGCGCAATGCCTTAACAACTCTAACACAAAGCAGGTGTTAGCATGAAGGGTATTCCCAACTGGGATACGAACCAAGGGCTTTCTGTTTGAAGAACAGGTGACATACCACTTTAGCTAGCCAGATGGCACACTATTCTGCAAAGAGTTCCACTTTCTAATTGAGGCTGTTTATGGTTTTGTCACAGATATATTAGGCTAATGTGTTATGGTGAGTTTACACAGAACATGGTCTCCATGGCAAGAGTGTAGATTTTACTTAATTTCCCTATAAAGATGGTTTGGGCAAGTGTGGTGAAGCAGCCAGCAGTGAATTCCAGGTGTTGAGAGGAAAGTTTGACCAAATGTTTATGAAGTAAGTCAACAGAGGGTCTAAAGAAAAACATAACAGCCCTGTAGCTGCAGCGCTCAGATGCATCATATTCATAAACACTTGGTGGTTGTATGGTTGATCAAATGAGGATATGTTCAAGCTGTTTGAATACTTTAGCAAGGATTGGCTAATTCTAATTCATGCCTAATCAGGTTACAATGAAAGTCAGCTTGAGATTTAGTATTATTCATCAAAAAGGCATCCATATATTCAAGGAGGCTTACATGATTGCAGCGACACGACAATCTCTCACCCTGTGCAAGGATGTGACGGATATGGAAAGGAAAAGAAAAACCTTCAGCAGGAACAGAAGTAGTATGAGGCCATCTGTCACAATGCAAAGAATCTTATCGAACCAAAACAACACAAACAAGCATACAGTAAACTAACAGCCTTAAACTGTAAGTAAATCAAAAACAAACCCCAAAACATGAGCGACTTCCAACCGTGACACATCTACATCAATCAGTGGTGTATGTATTCCGGCTGCTGGTAAGAGGCTCAAGGTCGAAATTAAATTGGTTATTTAAGTGTCTGTTCAACAAATTATGAAGAAATAAGAGATGGATAAATGACTCCACACATAGAGTAATTCATTCATGCAAATAAGGAAAATATTTGTGTAAAAAAACTCTCAGATTTGGGTCTTTGCATTTAGTACAGCTAGCAGCATGATATCAGTCTTCGGCTCTTAAAAAGTGAGAAACACCAAAAACAGTAAATTAGGAAACCATGAAAAAAAATGAAGAGTGTACTGTCAGGATATTTCTACTGAGGGATGAATTTGGTTCCGAAAAAAGCCATTAACTCATATTCAAAGACTGTCTTATCCATCAAGGAAAACCAAGAGATGTTTAAATTGCTTAAAGATAACAGAATAGTCCTTCTGAGTTTTTATCTGTTTCCTCTGCAGTCCCTGGATTTTAAAATCTTGTATTCCCCCTGAATTCAGTCATCCTCATCATCAAACCCAAAATTGGTCCGTCCCTTTGACCTGCTGCTGTGACCAGTCTGATGGACTCCTGCTCCAGACTGGTACCCGTACTGGTCACTCTCATCCTCAAACTGGCTTTGATGTGGTTCCTCCTCTCCTTGGTTCTGGTGTCGGTGTCGACTCTCCTCCGGGGCAGACCAGCCTTGGTAAGGCCTGTTTTCCTGTTCCTGGGGGTAAACGTCGTCGTCAGGAGAGAAGGTGTCATCCAAGTTGTCGTTGTAGCGCTGGTAGCAGCTGGCGTGGGCCTGCTGCTCGCGGGCCTCTAGCTCCAAAGTGCTGTGCCAAATTCCATAACAGCCATAGATCAACAGACCTTAGGAAAGAGTAAATATTTCAGCTTAGCACAAAACACAAATGAAGATGTCTGATTGTTTTTAAAACAGTTAATTAAATTACTTAATCAACTCTTTGGTGTTCCTGCGTGTTGTGGTAGAAGTCATTTTTTTGGGAGTCTAAAATCCTCACCGAGACATTTGGTTCTACATGAGCCGAAGAATTACCTGTTAATTTGAGTTATGTGTCCTAAAACAGGTAAACACCTAAAACATGCAGGACACCTAGCCTGGTCAGCCAGACTGATATGACGTGTGTATGGAAACAAATTGTACAGCTCGATTTCAAAGGTGGGAGTAACAGAGTCAGACTCATCATGTTAGAACCAATCAGTTAACTATGGATGTCACGCAAAAACTCGAGCAAAGGGCTCAATCTTGGTAATTGTATTCCATAAAACATTTTAAGTCATCGAAGAAACTCTACAGTCAATGACTTCTGCTGGTTTTGCCAATAAAATCTGAAGATATAAGGTTTACTCTCAACTATACAGGTGTCAAACTGGTTCCAGAAAGGGCCGTGTGGCTGCAGGTTTTCTTTCCAACCAAGCAATAGCACACCAGACTCCATTCATATCAAAAAGTCATCATGTTCAGATTGGACTCCCTTGATGAGTTGACTGGAGTATGGTGTGCTATTGCTTGGTTGGAAAGAAAACCTGCAGCCACACGACCCTTTCTGGAACCAGTTTGACACCCCTGCTCTACTACATTCTTAATTTTCATTGCAACATATGTCTGCTCCAGTCATCAGCTTGTTGCTATGCTAGCACAAAAACATTGCTGTATAATGGCTAACTCTGGCACTGAGCGTGACGCATCATAAAGTCCCGCCTTCTTGCAGAGGCTACATGACATCACCAACCTAACCCTTAAGGTGAGATTTAGCTATTTTTCACCTGTGAATGATCATTCCTAAAAAGCGGCATCTTTTATTAATTGTAAATGCTGTATTTTAAGTATAGAATCAACAATGAGTAGTTTTTGACTCACCTATCAGACACCAGATAGTGAACCTTGCCCAGGTGAGAGGAGACAGTTTAAGCATGAGGTAACTGTTAACCAATATGGCCGCTGCAGGGACAAAGGGAACACATGGAGCCATGTAGGGCAGCCTCAGTTTGCTCTCTGGCTGTTGAATGATAAGAATCAAAAGTTTGGCCATTGATCCCAAAATCAGTGTTGCCATCAGGCCCGAAAACACTGCTCCAGCTCCTGAGCCTTGCTCTACACCAAATATGATAGTGGACCAAAAGAGGAAAGATATAAAGAAGAGGGAAAGGGTGCATCTAGTAACTATCTGACCAGAAGCAGGGGTTGGACGTGCTGATGAATCAGGTATTCCCAGTCGGAGTCGAATGGTGTAATAATGACCTCCTAGAAGTCTTTTCATTAGCGAGGGAGGTCCGGTGTGGAAATTAGAGTCATCTACCTCCCCTTCAGTTCCACCAGCATGGTAGGATGAGGACCCATCATGATCTAAGCCTTCCATCATGATTTGGTCATCTTTGGTAGGGGCATCTCCAACATCCCGATGTTTGATGTTCTCCACGTCTTCCTCTGAAATAAACTGGTGTGTGTCAGTCTCTTTATCAGGCTGGTAGCGAAGTAATAGCACGCACACACTAACTAGGGTGTAAGCCAGCAGAGTTCCAATGGACATCATCTCAATCAGGTCCCGGAGGCTCACCAGGAGAGCCAGAATGGCTGCAAAGCTTCCTGACAGAGCACATGCCATAGCAGGAGTGTGTGTGAGTGCTGAGACATGTGTCAGGAACCTTCAGATATAGACACAAAAATAAATTAGCTTTCTTTGTCATTATTATTATGAGTGTGATTTATTTGTTTCCTTACCTGAACAAGAGTCCATCCCGGGCCATGGCATAGATGACCCTGGGCATTGGGAACAAGGAGCCCAGCAGTGAGACGGTGAGTCCAGCTATAGAGCCAACAGCTACAATGTACTTTCCCCACATGAAACCATGCACAGCAAACATTTCCATGAGTGGAGCAGAGCCATCGATCAGGTTGTAGGGGACCATGAGAGTAAGGATCACACTCACCTGGAGTAAAAACAAAGAATGTGAGAGTGGTGATATTCTTTAAATGTTTCACGTAAAAGCTTAGAAATGAAGACCAGGGAAAGGTCAAGAACAAATTGTTACAAGACTGATGCAACACTAAAACATCAGAATATCAAGGTTAAGATATACGATAAAGATCTGAGAGTCTGAAGACCAAGGCAAAGCAAAGTCATCGCATGCTTCATTACTATCAACTATTCACCGTCAGATTAATACTGTCCCAACACCAGGACAAGTCTAAAACTACAGACTAAGACCAGATCAAGACTAGACTGTAAGTTGAGTGAGACTTTGGGGGGTCTAGGTTTAAGGGCTGAACATACTGGATCAAATTTCTTATCTGATCCATGAAAATCTAGTAGTGTGATGTAGAAGTTAGAATGTTGAAATAAACGCAGCTGCACAGACCACTCTCCAACTAACCAACAAAGACAGACAGGTCTGATTTTACAATTTAGCAGGGATGACACCATTCAGATGGGATATGAGAAAAGGTTAAACCCATATATGAATATAAAACTAAAGTGGTCAAACTGCAAAATAGACCAAGCAGTAACCCAGCGCTAATGTGCAAATATGTATCCCATATGCTCTCAATTTGTGTGAATACAGCCTGTTGGACAGACTTAATGATACAATAACAATAACACAATAGGGTATGGCAAAGGCATACACTAAGGTATATTTTATACGCTTAGGTATGCAGTGTAACAACAACTTGGTTTTGAGCTTTGAGCAGCAATTGCAGTTATGTGTTTAAAGGCTCAGGCTAAGTCAAGATCAAAATCAAACTTTAAGGAGTTTTAACCAGCTTTAGACCAAAGTGTTCCGAGGTGAAGGCAAGTTCACACATCTTAGGGGCTGGAATTCAATCCAGGCTTAGGTAAATGTGTACCAATTAGACCAATTCGTGCTTAAGACTAAAGTGAATTAAGACCAAAAAGGCTAAGAGTTTGAGGAGCCAAACCAGATTGTCTGCATGTGTCACAGTGAACGCAGATATGCCCCTCCCCTTCCTCAGACACTCTGCTGCGCCTCTCCAAAATTGTAGGTTAACGCAGACAGTGCCACAGACAGGAGGCCTCTGATTGGTCAATTCTACATCCGCTCTACACTATGCGTATTCCCTGTTTGGTACCTTACCGACTTGTTTTGTTTTTATGACCACCATTGTGGAAAACAACTCGTGAAGATGGACCAGTTAAGATTATTCTTTACAGCAAACCAGAGCAGTGCTCACAAAACTGCTGACCCACTATCAGTTATTTAGAAAAGATTTCTTCATGAAGGTTCCTTGTTAGTTGAATCGCGAACCTCAAAAAGTAATAAATCAAACATGAGAAATGACCCGAAACGTAGAACTAAGTGTGAATCATCTGTGTACCGACCGACACATAGGCGGTGAGGCAGGTGACCAGTGAGACGGTGATGGCGTAGGGGATGGATGTGTTGGCATTCTTTGCCTCCTCTCCAGTCGTTGCGATGATGTCAAAACCAATAAAGGCGTAGAAACATGTAGCTGCGCCTTGCATCACCTAAACAATAAAACATCAGAGTTTATTTTTACATGCTGCGATTAGACTGATAAATAAGTGAATGAAATAAATCAAGCAAGAGGTAACACTGTGTGTTAAAAATATAAATGTTTGCTGCAATAAGCTGAGGGACATTCAGACTAAAAGCTAATAGACAGATTCGAGTAATTAATAACTTGAAGCATTGAAACAAAAATGGAAAAAAGGAGCCAAGTATAAAAATTTCAGTATAAGTTTCAACCGAGTTTCATTAATATCACAATGGGTTTTAATATAGGTTCTATCAACATGGTGAAAGAACAAACAAAGATTGTTTTAATATTTTTTTGTTAAATAAATATATATATATATATTAAAAGATGTGCTAGCACCAGAGACAATAATGACTGGACATTTTTTAAGTGCATTCAGAAAAAGGTGTAAAGTTTAAGAGATAAACACATAGACTCATCCAGAGTTTGGAGGAAAATGGCAGGAAGTGCTGTAAGTATCTAAGTTTCCGATCCAGTTGGAGTTTTCAATGTGAATAACAGTAACGAGCTGTGCCAAGACTGCTTCATATGCAGTACTAGAATTCAGGGGGGGTGGGGGCAGCCCCCTTCTTAAAAAAAATCTTAAAAATGATCTCTGTTCTTAAATTACCATCCCCCTATACCATCTTCCAACATTTCTATTATACATTAACAGTAATGTCAAAATATTGCTCTTTCAACATTTGGTGGACTGTGGGCTTATGAGTATGAAGTTGCTCCCAGTGGGAGATTAGTCCCTAACCATGTAGGGGCAGTGATAGCCATGCCAGTCCAGGGACTGACTGCAGTTCTACTATAAGGTGCCCTAGTCAAGCTCAATGTACGGCGTACCTGACATGTAACAACCATACCATGCATGTTGCTTTAGGTTAAAAGACTATATTAATTAGACTATGTATGCTTCAAATAAAAAAGCAAAAAAACAACCCTTCCTTTTTTTTTTTTTACAACTAGACTTTCATACAATTTGCAAACATTGTGCATGGAAAGCAAATTTAGTCTATTTTCACTCAAGTCGAATTAGAGTTAAAGTTCATCTATAGATATTTAAAGTAAATGAGTTTAAGCGTTTGAGCAGTGATGGGCAGTAGCGCCGCTACATGTAGCGAAGCTATTAGTTTAACTACATTTTCCAGTAGCTTGACCGTAGCGTCGCTGCTTTATTTATCAAGTAACTTTCCAGTAGTGACGTTATTATTTTTATCAAGTAGCGACGTAGCGTCCACAAACGCTACAAAACCCAGGGCATAAGTAAGTAATGAAAGCAGGTTTTCTATTTTTGAAACAACAATCTGAGTTATTTGTTGGACATTCACGCATGAGCCTCTATTCTGCCTCTCCTGTCTGTATCTACGAAACATGCGCATGCGTACTGCAGTGGAACTAAAAGAATGACACACGCAGACACACAGAGCCACACACACAGGATGGAGGAGGAGACAGGAGCAGAGCGCCTTATCTTCAGAGATTTTGAAACTTGTTGAATCCTCTGACAAAAAGTACGTGTTCAAATTTTGGTTCTTGGCCATAGAGAGCTCATGTGGCCAAGACTACCCATTTGTTTTACATAGCCAAACACTCATTAAAACAGTCAACTGCAGTCAACTTTTTGAAATAAAAATGAGAAAAATATATCAGCTTTACCTTTATTGGCACCTTTAATTTCCAGATAGTTAAATCTGATGAGTGCCACTAAAATATTCTCATTAGAGAGCAGTAGCCAAACTTAGATATTGTATTTTCATGGCTTAATTTACCAGACAGGATGTTTACATAAATCTGTTTTAAGGCTTATTTGCACAGATAAGATTTTTTAGGTTTGGAGGAACAGCTCTCCCATATATAAAAATAAATACATAAATAAATACATGCCCAATAAATAAATAAACATTCAATTAATTACCCCCCAAAATACAATGAATAAATATTTAGGTAGAAATTAAATTATACAGTGAGACATAAATGTATATATCTCTTAATTAGCTTCTTTACTTTTTCACCTTTTTGCAAACAGTTTCATTAGTTACTTGAATCGACTGTTTAATTGAGGTCTGAAGAAGTTTTCTCTAAGGGAGACCCTAAAGAAATAAGATGCCTTTTGTAGGGTTTTGTTTTCCCTAGAGATGTCCATTGAATGCAAACTCATAGCCATGTCTCCATGTGTAGAACGCTACACAGTACCTTTCATTTGGTTCTAATAACAGCAGATTGTTTATTTTTTTGTGTCTACTAGTAAATACTTTAGTTTTTTTTATTATGCTGATCATAAAGCAATGTTTACACTGTGATATGTCGTTGGCTGATCTTTAATAAATGTTTTAACCAGTGTGTCAAACTCATTTTGAATTGATATTAGGTTGGTACAACGTTAAGTAGGTTCTGATGTAGTTAAGCTACTGTTAACACATTAGTGTAATTAGCTTGCTCTAATTCTTTAGGTGGTAGCTTTGGTGTAGTGAAGCTTAATTTATTGTTGAGTAACTGATAGCTTAGCTCACTACACTGGACAAGTAGCTTGCCCAACACTGCGTTTGAGGTAAAACCCTTTGAGACAACAGAGTTTACCTACCTCTTAAAAATGTTCAATTTATATTGAAAATTTCATTCATACAATGTTTTGTTGTTGCCTCCACTAGAAATTACAACAGTTTTCTATCTTCCCCCCAAAGCATCTTAAACTATGAACTTATAAAGTCTCACCCCTGACCAGCCATACGGCATGAACCTGCCTCCCTCCCAGTTGCTAGCTGACAGGAAGAAGAGCCCGGCGATGATCATGAAGACCCAGACCACCAGGTTGATAACATTTAGGACATTGTTGAATCCCACAGAGTTCCTTACTCCCAGAGCAACAATCACTGTGACCAGCAGGGCAATGAACAGGGCCAGCAGGTCAGGATACGTGTCTTCACCCTTACCTGAAACACACAGTAGGAGTCTGGTACGTCTGTAAAAACAACTGAAAGAGACACTATATGGCACCTTACTCTAGACACTGTATTCATTAGCTCTTGTCACACTGACCAAGTCCTCTGAGCGTGCCCAGATGTGTTATCATGTAGTTACTGATGCTGTGATTAGCCAGAGAGTCGAACATGCTGCTGAGGGCCGACGCCCCTGCCGCCGTACCAATCAGGTACTCCAAGATCAAGTTCCAGCCGATGAAAAATGCCACAAACTCCCCAACTGTCACGTAGCTGTAAGTGTATGCTGAACCCGTTGTTTTGGGGACCCGGACCCCAAACTCTGCGTAGCAAACACCTTTCAGGGAAACAGAAACATGGCAACATAAATGTTAGGGAGAATTTACGGAATACTTAGTTAACAATTTGAAAGTTGGAAAGTAAATGTGAGAGAAAACACCAACCTAACAATCCTGCTATCAGTATTTAATCAGTAATTTTGGTGGAAATAGTTTATGAAATAAATAGCTAAACAGGTACTTGGGGAAAAAACCCGTAGTTCCACCTTTAAGGTAAAAAAAATAAAATAATTATAAATGGAATTCGGTCATGATTGAAACTTAATTATAATAAAGACTTTTTGGAGAACCGAATTCTACCCTCATCTATAATGAATTTGGATGGCTTTCTGCTGTGAATCTAAGTTTTACTAAAAGTCAACCCATCCTAGAAGTTAAAGCTTGTTTGTCAAAAAGATAGAAAACATTTAATATGAAGATTCACATATTTTATTAAGATTTTGACAGTTAGCATTTGCTTTTGAGGAAGATACATTGAACTGAACCCATTCTTAAATTTTTGTTTAATTGGTTGAAACAGATGGAATCATAGAGGAAGTACAACAAATATAATGATAGAATATATATACCTGGTTTATCTAGTTATGTAAAATATGTTTGAAATACGTATCAGGTAATTTGTTCTTATTACAAAGTTACAACGTTCAGCAGACTCTGATATGTCTCCAAGTAGCTTTTAGATTAAAATAGAGGTGATAGATAAAAAATAAAATAAAAAAGTTAAAAAAGTAAGAAGGCCTGTGTCAGTCTTTCCAAATGTGTTTTAACAATCATGTCACCTGGGCAGAAGCATTAAATATCATTTTCAAACTTCGTACTGCTTTCCATATTGAGGCTAGTGTTAGTGATACTGTTGGGTGGCTCAGGTAATTCTAAATGATGCTCTATAGCAGAGCAACCAATTAAAAATCAGCAGAGTCCAAATAAAAAAATAATCAACCTGTAAACGTCCAGAGACATTTTTAATTACAATCTATTACTTTAAACAGAATTTAACACTGACACTGACTGTTTTGAATATCCTATATAGCATCATATCTAAAAAAATAGGTGATTACAAAATTTTGTTTTATTACTGATTTTTCTTTTTATTTTGACTAGTCCTTAGATTGGTTTCCTGACTGATTTTTCAACATCAGTTTTTTAAGGCCATGCACCTGACAGTATTGAGGCCACTGCTGCAATGATAAAGGAGAGGATGACTCCCGGTCCAGCCATGGCTTTGGCAACCAGCCCGGCCACCACATACATCCCGGTTCCCACACAGCTCCCCACACCAAGCGACACCAGGTCCACAGTAGTCAGGACCTTTGCCAGTCCCACGGCGGACCCCTCTGCTAACTCCGTGAGGTCATCAGAGCCATGGGCCATGGATCCAACAGGTTTGGTCCTCAGCAGGCGGGAGTACATGCCGTACCAGGCCTCTCCAAAAGACAGCCGACCCAGCCAGGCTGCCATTGCTCCTCCTGGTTATCACCTATTGATGTCAATGAGCTTCACAATCTGCCTATCATTGTTTCAGGCTCATCTGAGGCTTCCTCAAACCCATTTCCATATTTTCTGGAAACTAGACGAAGGGAAGAGAAGCTGTAAAGATACAGAATAATGTAATATGGTTAGTTCAGAGAAGTTCATTAAATCCTCAGATACATTTCAGATTGGGTTTGTAGGAACTAATCATCTCTGCTGGCATTACTTAAAACTGATGACACATGTTTGAGCTGGTTCCAGTTTGACGCAGGTCCAAACCCCAGAAGACTCCACCCTGCTTTCAAGTACAACTCTCAGAGCCCCTTGATTGTTTTCTATCAGTTATCTGTCGACATTCAGTTGTGGGGCTAATTTCACTTTTACTTCATGCCTTTTAAATTCAGTTAGCCTTTTATTTAAAATTAATCCATATTCCTAAATGGAAATTAAATGGTACAGTAACTCATCAGCTTTGTTCTCAGTGTTGATAGCTGTAGGCAGGATCTTCTGTAATAGTCATTCAAACAAAGTTGAAAACGAACCACTGGACTTTGTTTTACAAGTTCAGTGGCTTACTTTTAATTTGTTTTGGAATGCCTATGAACTGGATGACTGAGAATCTTTACCAGCAGACTGTAGCAGTCAGTCTTGTAGTGGATCTAGAGAAGCCCCTGACTGACGACTTTCTCTGGCGGACATCCCAAGACATCCCACGGCATACGTCCCGACATACGCCATATGTCCCGCCATATGCCAGTGTATGCTCATACATGGGCCATAAGTTACAGGTCAGTTATCTGATCTTTGACATAGGTTAAGCGTAAGTTACTCATAAGTTATGGTGTCCCGCTTATCCAAAACCTATGAGTAACTTGCGCATAACTGACGCGTAACTTATCAAGAACTTCTCTCCAATGCATATCAACGTATCTGATGTGTTCCAGACTAACGTTGATCGCGTTTCTAAGTTACAGCTACTGTTTAATGGAATATTGGCAGCATTTTGGTATAAAGGGGGTTCACAGGAGGAAACCATCAGTTCTCCTCCAGACTTCATCCCCATCATAGAGTGAGCCAGAAGGTGAGAGTGATGGATGCTCCCCGCGTTAACAACCAAAACTATCAAACTTCGTAGCAGACATGACGCTAAATCTGCTGCGACTGCAAACCTTCTTTCTTTCT